GTTATAATCAACATGATTCATATGCAATCAAATTGATTCCAACATCATATGCAATAAACTAACCGTGATTTTTTATATCAAACAACTCTTATGTCATGAAATGCAACATCTTACATTTAAATCATTTTATTATCTTCTTTGATTAACAATCAATTACTATAAACATGATTAACATGCAATCAAAAGTAACTATTAAAATTATCAAAACATTCCTTCATCATTTTAATCATAATACAAAAAATGTATCATTTAATACATAAGTAATTAACAATTGTCATAAATCTAATCACAAATGATGATAAATTTCAAGTGAAACTTTGTTGTGACAATGCATAAACAAACATCTTGTGATCTTTGGTGATATAATTTGATGGATAAAAAGTGAAAAGTACAAGATTCATACAACTTTTTGATATGTAATTTCATGCATAGTGATAGATAGGTTTATGACGTCTAAACATAATAATATTATGCATATTTAACTGAAAAGACACACATTATACATTTCAAAATATTGATTTAATTTTAAGAATAAAATATTTTTACAATAATAATAATTTATATTTATATCATGTACTCATCAATATTTGCTTCTAATTATGCATGTTACAAATGATAAATTCAAATCAAAACATCAATTGCTAACAATAATTGGTATCTTTGAGTTGATTAGAATAATCATTCACAATGCATGTAAATACGTTATGTAGTTTTATATATCTATTTGTTTCATATATTATTATCTAACATTTTCAAATTTAAAATTATATATTACATGTAAATTTATAAAAATTTGACTAAAATGCTTGAAGAATTAAAAGTCACAACTTTTTCAACTTTGTATCAATAAGTAGACTAACCTTACACGAATTTTGATAAATTAATTAAATAAATTATTTTTAGTAACAAAATTTGAAGTAAAGATGTACAAAAATATGTTTTTCATGTCCATTTTATTAAAAAAATTTGATTTTATTTTGTTATCATTATTGGCATTTTTATTTTGTCCAAATTTTAAAACATGTCACGCATGGAACAAAAATAATGTGTATGTTATATTTTGTTTGATATTATTTATTTATTATACATTGACGAATTTTTTCATATAATACAAATATTTTAATATGTGTGTAAAATGCATCAAGCCTTTTTTAAATATAAATAAATAAAAGATATCTTAAAAAATATTTACATTGATGTATTGTACCTATCCAATAGGTACAATATATCAACTTGTACAATATACAATATTTTTGTGAAGATTTTTAAATGATAACTATTAAATGCATGCTTTGTTTTATTTAAATTTAGCTTCACAATTGATTTTTATTATTTCCATTTAGATTTAATTTGAAATAAATTTGATTATTGAGCATTCAATCAATCCTTGTCACATGAATGCATATCTACATTTGTGTCATAATCTAGTTAAATTTAAAAGTAGGCAAATTAAATGATTAGTTAATTTTGTTATCAAAATAAATTCAAGTTAATAAATTGATACAAATTGGTTTCATTTAGAAATAGAACACCAGAACCAATAAAATTTAATTCACATGAAAATCTTTCAACTCAAATGTTTCAATCGATTAATTACTCTTCATGTGATACAAAAACTAAACACATAAGATTAATTTATGAAAATGTTGTAATATTTATGTTTATATTTGAATTTAAGATTTCATTTCATTTGTATGAATATAAATAAATCTAGAAAATATATTTTTACGCTTAATATTAAATTTTAATTTATTTGAGTGTTATGTTAAGATTTAATCTATGCATAATGTATCCAATTTTTTACCATTGTAAGATTTCATAAATAATTTTTGAAAATATGTGTTGGTGAAAATATTTTTTGACTTTGTGTATTAGAGTGATAATTATATTTAAAAAATTGTTAGAATTTTTCATAATGTAAAATTTTTTACAATTTTTTAGAAATGAAAAATGTCATGATCATATAAAATAATAAAGTACTCACTTCTAACTTTAATGCATTTTTCTAGTGCATCGCATATTAAAAATTGTTAAACCATACAAATTTATATAATGATGTTTTGGATTTGAGGAAGAAAATTTGATGTGTTAAAGAAAACTTAGATATACCCATTAATATAATTCTAGAGAGATTTACTTGATGGAATCCCATCACAAAGGAAAAGTCTTAATGGTATCCAATAGTCCAATGGTACCTTTTCGATGTCATAGATGTTCTACTATGAGTTCTTGTAATTGCTTTGAGACTGGGTTAGGAAAAGCACTTCGGCTCTTTCTTGAAAAGTGACTTCTACCTGCATGCACTTCACGGACTAAAATACGCAACTTACGTGACTTCGGCCAACAATTTTAGAAAATAAAGTAAGGAGTAAGTAGATTATGCCTATATGAAAAATTGAGCTCTTGCATGATGAAGATTGGAAGCCATGGAAAATCTGACTAACTTAACTTCGAGAAGAATTTATTTTTTTCATTGAATTGGAAACAAATCAATTACAAGAACATAAATGACATGGAACGTATTGGGTACCATCAAGCATTCAGATGGATCCAATCAAGTAAATTTCTCTATAATTACTCAAGGTTAAATTTGCATGGTTATAATTTGCCGAACTTACACATATTTATATGTGTAAGTATGATTACGTATCAATCTTCTATTAATTATAAATATTGGTGTTGTATGTACTAAATAAACGATGGAGATCGGATATCACATTTTGTGGAACTGTGCCTGCAATGGCTAGATCGAAAGAGAAAATTTTACCTGAAAATTCTGCTCATCATGCTCTTAACTGAATCTTTCGAAAACGCAATGCATTAAAATAGTCCGGCTGGATACACATTAATCTCCTATCATTTGCCACTCGGAGACAGATGGTGTTGGGTATACCGAGTGCACATTTAACTCGCATCCAATTTTGTGTATACCTAAGAGATACAGGATGATAAAAGTTAACACATAGCTATGAGTTCTTAATGTTTTCTTATTAATGGAATCCATGCCACGGACACAAACCACGGCTATTTCTGCGGTGAACGAAGAAATGTTGGATCATAAAAGTCTTCTCCTCATACTGATCTTTGTCGGGGAAAATGAAATTAATGCTTCTGATATTTTGGTATCAAAATGCGGAGGAGTGCTCCTAACCTTGAATGCGAGTAATTCGAGGTTTGATCTTCAAAAGCAATTTTTGTTCCTGCACATTTTTTCAGAGCAATCATTGATTTCCTGTTCTGGAACTACCGTGAATCCCCCATTGTTCATACATAGACTATCCGACAATGATTTTTGAGGACGGTCCAAGAAAATTCTGTCACTTGTGCATATTGCTCCTTGCAGTGCGGAAGAGCTCGTTTTCGGCACTTGTGCATATTGCTCCTTGCACTGCGGAAGAGCTCGTTTTCGGCGGAAAGTGTCCATTTCGTGCATCCCACGTGTATATTTTATCTCACTTTTATATAATATTGGACAAAATTCACTTCAAACGTGTGTAATTAATTTACGATTGAATAATCTGTTTAAATTTTCTTATGCATATAACTTATATTACATATTCAAAGCATACATATAACATATATGCATTAACATATTCAAAGCTCAGTATAAATTAAATGTCAGTTGATACAATTATCTTATAATTTTTTTTGTGTTAGATTATAAAGTTGAATTTTAAATTTCATTTTCAATCTTCAAATCCACGAAAATTCATCTTTGTTCACATTCAACTCATTTTGTGTACTTAGCTTTCCAATATTTTCTTACAGTCCTTGTATGGTTGTACGAAAGATTTCCAATACTACTCAAAGTTTACGAATTATAAATTATATCAATTTTGTGAATTTTCTATTTTGTTAGGAATATTTACTACAACAATTTTCAATACCGAAGTTTATAAGAATCGTTTTTGTGAAACACCAGTGACTGATTGGAATCCACTTGTTGAAAGCTATCACCGCTGCCGGGCTCAGATCCAAGACATTCAATATACTCAAATTGTTTATCAGGTCTCCAATAGTATCTTGGAAACCCTGGAAAATGTATGATATCTAAACAATTTATCACAGACTCCATACATTTATCCCTAAAATGATATACTAATCCAGTCCCAAAGCGATAGTTATAAAGTCACCACGTTTTTATCAGAAATGTAATGAAGTAACTTCTTTGAGTACTATAACATGCCTATTATGATGGAATAAACAATGGTCCATCTTAACAGGCCCCCAAACCACTCTAAAGTCCCATCATAATTACGCCTTATAATCAATAAATTTTATTTCAATTTATCTTGAACCTTTATCAACATGATGATATTGGGAAGTTTATACAATGGTGATATGTCACAATTTCACAATGACACGTCATTCTAAATGATATCTTTATTACATAGGTATTTATTAACCAAAGTGATTTTGTCACATTAAGAAAAGTAAAGATGATACATGATATAATCTTCTCATTTTAGCCAACATAGAACACATAGAACTTGTCAAATAATAACTTGAATTATTAGCCCTATAAAATCATCTCCGAAACAACCTAAGATCAACAACAGTAAATGTCCACCCGAACCTCATATGAAATTTTATTATCTCTAGTTTTACACCAATCATCTCATCGGGATGTGTCGCCTAGAAAAACACATTCCAATAACCATCTAATGGCTTGTACATATTCTGAAACACGTCGGTGTTATCACGAGAGTGAATACTTGCTGTCAAATTTTAGGATAGACAATCGTCTGTAAAGATATGTTTCCGAGACGAGAGTTGGCAGTGGGTCATAACAACTCGAGAAGTAATGGGAAACGTTTGTTTCATAAAGGAAAACGATCTAATGGAGTAGATCCTGTACCGCGGCAAACTGTGGAGTGTCGTCTTCCTCGCGGTTTCTGCCGTCAGGATCGTCGGAGCTCCTACCACGCCTGTACCGGTGATACCCTGTCTCCGAGCGAGGAAAAGGCATGGGGTGCTCGCCCTTGTCGGGAGCAAAGAGGGTGGGATCACTTGTTTTAGCATCTGAACTGGCGATAACGCCAGAGGAAGATCAGTCGTCGTCAGATTTACATCGACGATGGCCAGATTTTGACAAGCATTGTGGCATCTGAGCCGTCCGTGGCGCCACTGGCGGTTGCAGTTAGGGCTGCGTTAGCGTTGTTTGCGAGCAGCAGAGAGCTCCGAACGAAGCCTCCCTCCAGTGCTCGTGCGAGCGCTCGGTCGTTCCAGCTCCGATTATGAGCCTGCGCAGTTTTCTTTTTCGGGTTTAATCGGCTGAAGAGATCTGGTGTCGCTGTGCGTGTGGTGGCAAAGCTCTTTGGGAGACGTATCGGACTGTCGCTGCGACGACGCCGAGTCTGCTGTGGAGGTGTCTTGAGCATCCGGGCTTTTTAAAACTCTTAATTTGATAGAGGTATGGCCTCCCTGCGCTTTTTTCCTTCCTCCCTCCTCTTCCTCTTTGTGCGGCCCCTTCGTTTTTGTCTACGGCTCTGTGATGCTCGCTCCTTGTGTGTTTATTCAACTTCATGATCGTGAGAAACAAATCTCCACGGTAATTTGAGAAAGCGATGATTGTGCACGCGACTCGGACCTGCGTGTGCGCGTGATTTGGACGGGGTTTTTCGCATGGGAAGTGTCCCATTTGGAGAGCGGCAACTGTATCCCTGTGCATTCGACTCTGTTAGGTTTGTCAGGCTGAAACCTACTAAGCTTGCGTAATATATGTTTTGAAACGAAGGCTCCAGCACTGACAGAGATGGTGTGCTCTTGTAACTGCTTAAAGTTGCACGAGCTTTCGCTGCTGTTCAGTCCACCTCATATGCCCTAGAGTATGACATTAGGAAGATGAGGCAGTATGTTGAAATTTGAGGATGATCTGAGGAGGCCAGACGTCTGGATTGTGATGTTCGTGGTTGTCAAGGTGTCGCGTTTCTCATGAAGCTTCTGACAGCAGATCAAAGTGTACTGAAGGATATTACCCGAGAGTTCTTGTCCAGACAAACGAGGGTGGATCTGCTTTTAATGCCAGAGGGCCCCGACATATTTGTGATACACGATGATTTCTTAGATGATATGTTTATTATGTCCAATTCATATATGACTGTAATTTTCTGCTTAGAATGAAAGTTGAACTTCGAGATCAAAGTCAAATTTGACCTAAGTTCGTGGTGTCCAAGAGAAGCTTCGATACTTTGTTTCCGCCTTGGAATAAAGCGTTGTTTTGGGTCCTTCATGGGCCATAATCTGGTCAACACGCTGTTTTCATTGAAGTCCGTATACATGACATAGTTTATGGGAAAATTCGCAGGATTAAAGTAAGACGTTTCCTATGCAAATAAAGATCACAATGAATTTCGGGTAATGATAGTCTTACGATTTCGATGTGCCTTATCTGTTGTGGATCCTACTCCTCTTGTCTTAGCTTTGGCCGATTGGATGATCGCGGATGGATCAGCACGAATAGGATTCTCAAGCCTCTTTCTTTCGTGAAGCGGAGTCAAGGCTGCTGTAGTATATATACAAGCTGTCATGATGTCCTTCTGTTTTGTACTTGCATATCTATCACTAGTAATTTGCATGTTACTTATAATTATAATGTCACAAAAAAGTAATCTACGTGAGTTCTCTTCTATCGAGATAGTCGTCTTCGAGGATGCTAGCTATACCAAGGGCAAAGAACACCATTTCCATATTAGTGATGATTATTGTGGAATAGGGAATATTCTTGGGCACCGCTCAACACTTCTTAGTTCTTTGTATTCCATCAATTCATGTCTGCGTGGGGCTTTCACGTTTTCCGGCTGTGGCTGTCCGTGTGTCTGTCTGATGTTTTCGCATCAGCCTGGCCTTCTACATGGCCCTAATCGTGCATTGCTTGGATTGGATGCGGTGCAAGTTGCACTTTATCTCCTGCGACTTTGTGCCAAATTCTGTTAACTAGACGTGGGATAATCGTTTCTGGCAATCGTCAAGAGAGAGAGAATGTACAAAGCAACGAGCTGGTAAACCGTGTCGGATCACAATTCATTGTAGTGATGTGCATGTTATATTGTGTCGTTTCGTCTCATGTCTTCTGCGAATGATTGTCTCGATGGTCAATCCTTTGGGTCCTTTGTTCGATTATCTCGTTTCTACTTTTCTTGCTCCGAGGCCTCAGTTTCGCCATTTGCATCCAAGTATGTGGGGTGGAATGAACTTTTTGTACCGCTCTATTGACAGCTTTTATCGTGGCTCAACCTCTGATTCTCGTACAGACGGTCACTGGTTCTTACGCTCTGCTTCTTAACATCTGGGTTTTGCACACAATGTTGGTTTGCTCGCCTTTTATGGTCGTTTTGTGTCCTTTTGCCTCTTCACTGCGTAATTCGTCAGTTGTGTTTTTGTCTCAGCTTGTCGCCTACCTTTTGTGATACTAAGCGCTCGTATCCGCTGAACCTCGTCGTTCGGTGGAATTTCCTAGCGGGGCTGATTGGTACAAGTCACTGGAGTCCATGTCGTGTTATTACTGAGTTTTGTATTCTGAATGTGTAGAGCGTTTAAGCTATTTTTTGCTCCGTGGAGTGATGCCTCGATATGAAGATCGAGGGGGAGGTCAAACCCGGCTTTACGTCGGTCGGCTTTCAAGCAGGACTCGCAGCCGTGATCTTGAGGATCTTTTCAGCAAGTACGGAAGGTATGGCATTGCATCTGACGCTTAATATGAATACTACTCACTGATTCTGCACAGGAGATCTTTCGGGTGGGAGTATCATAGAAGCTTCTTAGTAATCTCCTTCTGTCGACATAGATAACCCGGCGAGGGCGTAGAAGCACTGTCCGAACCTTCAACAACTTGATCCTAGTGCAAGTGCCTGAAGCCCAATTAGACACTCTTAAATCGGACTCTTTCCGACAGCCGTAGATTTTCCTCAGTCTTTGAGGAAAGCAGTCAAAGGCGAGAACATCTCGCAGCAAAACGATACCTCGTTGTGTCATTCAGTTCTGAAATATTTCAGAACGAAAACTGAATGCAGAGGGCCTGCCACTTTGATTTGTAAGGGCGAAGGCAGATGAGCGTTACGGGGCTAAGCGTTAACTCGCATGATGTTGTTGAAGGTTGGTGGGTTCTCGCCGGCCAGGAGGTCTTTGGTGAGAGGGTGGCCTTGGTGGCATGGTGGCCCTTGCTCGCGAGGGATTTGGGAGACTGGCGCATCTAGGCGTGCATATGTATGTATGATTGTTCATACGTACATACATGGAATGGCGAGGGTGGAAATGGTGTTTGATTCAACTGACTCGCGGTGTATCGTGCCGTGCCTTGACGTGGTGCGCTGCTCTTTTTTGGCACGACTTTTCGCAGAGTCCGAGACGTGGATTTGAAGCACGACTTCGCCTTCGTTGTGTGTATACCTTACCCTTCTGCATCGTAGTTCGTTTAGTAGTACATACAGTTGTCTGTTGATTTTCTGCAAGTGTGAATATTACCCTAGAATAGCTCCCGTATCCACGTTAGCCGCACTAAACCCAATCTATTGGCTGTGGAATATAGCCCACCGGTAAGTCCTCTCTGTAGATAACAGTAGGTTATTTCCTTCAACCGGGGACGCATTGTTACTCGCAGGAATTTAGTGACCCCCGAGACGCCGACGAAGCTATCCGCTACCTGAATGGTAAAGACTTCGAAGGTAGTCGTCTGGTGGTGGAGTTTGCTAGACGGGTGAGGGACTTCGCCATCTCCTCATCACTGGTCATGCCCTGACCTCCTGCTTCACACCCACCTCATTTGATTTTCCTTTCAATTTATATGAAGCATGTACTTTTCAGATGTTCAAATTTATGAGGAATTACTGTTTTTATCCGTGTATTGCTAGAGGAACTGGAATGTTTTCAAAATGAGAATGAGTAATGTGGACAAAGTCCACTCACACAAAAGATTAGCGGTCAATGATCATAAATCTGACCCAAAGCTTGATATCGTACTGATGTGCAGGGTCCCCGAGGACCAGGTGGAGCCCGCGAGTACCTTGGAAGAGGCCCTCCTCCGGGAACAGGACGATGCTACAATTGTGGAAACGATGGACATTGGGCCCGAGACTGCAAGGCTGGGGATTGGCGTGACAAATGCTACCGTTGTGGACAGCGGGGCCACATAGAGCGTAACTGCCGAAACAGTCCTCGCCCCTTCAACAGGTCAACACTGGTGCATTTGGGAGTCATTTAACCTCAGAGCAGTTGACGTAGAACGTGTCCAATTTGTTATGGTTTATGTTATTGACGTTTGAAGTGCCTTTTGGCAGGTATGAGCGCAGTCGTCCTTCTCGCTCCCGTTCCCCAATCGATCGTTCCCGCTCCAGGTCGCCTCGTCGCGGAAGAAGTCGAAGCAGAAGCTACAGCAGAAGCCGTAGTTACAGGTGTGACTTTTCTTTCACATGAACGGATAAGAAATGTGTACTGGTCAATGAAGTGATGCACACTACTGTAATGTGTAGGGTTTATTATGTACAGATAATGCGACGATTTAACTGTAGGAATTGATGATTTGTCAGCAAAGGAGACCTTCAAATTCTAGGTGACATAGCATATTCCATTTACGAATGCTAGCCTGAACGCACATAAGTTCGCTCACGTGTGTCTCGTTATTGGTCTTGCAGTCCGAGAAAGACAAGCAGGAGTCCCGTCAAGGAAGAAACCCGGGGCCGCAGAATTACGCGCAGTCGGAGCCGCAGTTTGTCTCCCGGTCTTCCACCACGGAAAGAAAGTCGAAGCCGATCTCGGAGTCCTGTGCGTAGTCCAGTGGGAAATGGTAGGAGCATCAGCCGCAGCCCGCAACCAACCCGAAGAGAACCGAGTCGCAGTCCTAGTCCAAGAGATCTCAGCCCTGCTCCGAGGAAGGACCTCAGCCCAGAGCCAGAAGCTGATAACCATAGTCCCATGACAAAGGACTCACCACCCCAAAGGGATGAGACCAGTCTTAGTCCTTCTGCCGACTGAGTTTTCTCGCCATTGGCCCTGCTCTTTCTCATAGGCAGGTACAGATTTCAGACAGCATGAGTTGTGCATGGTACCAACGAGGGATCTTGTGGACTGTAGATGGTTCGAATGATTATCCACGTTTGGTGTGCTGTATTAAAGTAGTTAGTGGATCTTCAGAACGATTACTGTCTACAAGTTTGATGAATACAATTGGACCTCGACGGGTTCTACGAGAACTAGCCACCAGTTAATTGGATATTCATTGCCTGAAAAATGCTGTTAAGGGTGAGCATCCAATCCCCTCTTCATGTTACTCCCGCGGCTCAGGTATCCTAGATGTCCGAGAAGGTACGCAAGTCAGTCTGCCCAGGGTCCTTGTTTTTGTGGGCCTAAGTGACTTGGCCAAATCTTACATAGTCAATAGAGTATGCACCAAGTCTAGAGCCACCAGGGATGGAGGGCAGCTTCGTATATACGACAGCGGAAGCACATATCGGCTTGAGTAGTGCTGAGAAATGGCACGTGCATATCTCTTTTGTCCTACTCTGATGTAAAGCTTTTAATAAACTTCCGTCCTGTTCAGGCAAACTCCGTATTCATTCTGTGCATCTCATGTATCCTGTCTGTAATGTCTCGGTCACCATATGACCGTTAATATGTATAAGATTGTGGGTCGTGTTGAGGTGAAAGCGTGCATGCTAGAAGGGAACGGCTAGTTATCTCACTTAGGGTTAATTAGCCCTCACTCTAGTATACGCAGTTGCTCTTCTTGGTCGATGCAAGGTAGTAGGGTTCTCTTATTGGTCGATGCAGGGTAATAGCAGATGTAGGGTAGTAGGGATGCAGTAGCATTTATAGGCGGTTCGACCAATCAGATAAGCACGTATAGTAGAGTGAAGGCTAGTTAGCCCTAAGTGAGGGATAACTAGCCCCTCCCATGCTAGAAACATCTGCGTCATGTATCACTTTGGTACTTGTGGCACGGCAACATTAATAGAGCCCTGGACAAGCCTCTGTCAGACCTGCCAAGTTATGCCTATCACTTACAGGACTGCTGCGTACTAATTCCATTAATTAGTTGCTTTGTAGATTTGGAACAAGAAGAGAGGGCAGTTTAAGGTCAGTTACCAATGACAACCCTCGCCAGATTGTCGAATACTGCATGCTTCAAGACCAATTCGTCTTGTTCAGGTTTTTCGTCTCTCGAATTTCGTCCGCAGTTGCCAAATGAGTCCTACAAAGTTCGGTGGTTGAGGCAGCAGCTTTATGGGGCGCGGATGTGTAGAACCTGTTAGCTATCACATGTCGACGTATTCAGCTCCAAGAACCTCGTTTTCTCCATAGACTCAAATACGGAGGCTGCCTCCGAATCCCCATCATAAATGCGCTGGCATCCCATAACCTTTCGCACCTGAACCCGGAGTACCTGCACCTGGCAAACTAATAGCATTTCTAAACAAAACCTTCAGTCTTCAGGACACAAAAGCTTAGATCCATTGGCCTTCCGTGTTTTAAGTGCGTTGACGTATGTCATAAGTGAACTAAATTATCTCAACCACCTTGCATACCACCGTTATGGACAAAATTAATTTTGCCGCTTTGAAATGCATCCACCCTCTACAAGCCCAGGTTATTGCTTTCGTCTCTGGCTCAATCTTGAACGTTTCCGAAAAAGCTGAACCACATGAATTTGTCTCCAACAGCTTTTCGGTTGGAAGGAATCTTTAGTGGTATAGCAGCTGTAACTGGAACAACTGAAGGACAATTATTAATATTTTTTAAAACTTATTATTCACCATTGTATGTTAATGAAATCTCATTTATCAACTTTGTTGGTTGTACCATATATTTTATTCTATTGCTATAACATTAAAACTCCATCTTCACATTTAGTCATGATTGTATGTAATTAGTTATGTGTAGTGTGTATACAAAGAGAGCTGTACTTGAAATATTGCTGTCAAATTCACACTATAGCATTTAAATCTGTATAATTGAAAACAAACGACTTTAAAAGAATCTTTTTTTAAAAGCCAGTCCTTTTCAATTTTAAAGAATTTAGTATTTTAAGCTAATGCTACACTATGTTGTTTCAGACCAATTTCGGATATTGTAATTCAAGAGCAATAATAAGAACTTTCTCAGTTGAGTTCCTAGGTCGCTCAAAGGCACTAAGTACAATGCGAGCACTACCGGTTGGATTCACATTACCGACTCTTAATGTCGTACATACTATATCCTACTTTTGCACACAACTACGTATGAAGGTAGGTGCCGCTGCCTTTGTTTTGACGAATATGATTGAAATCTATATAGAAGAGGAGGTTATCTTGTGGAGAAAAATTAGTCGGTGGAATTTGGAGTGAGCCAAGATTAGCCTACTAGACACAAAGAAATAAGATAAGCTCTAAAAAGTGTTTGTCTTTTTATAAGCTTAGAGTTCTATCCGCTTATATTCCTACCAATGTGATTCGAGCGATCGCAGTAATATGATTTGGGATCACTCTTAAGAACTGTTGGTATATTTTTTATCAAAGTTTGGTTTGAAGTTTTCTTCAACACCACTCAAGTTCCTGGACTTTGACAACTCGTGATTTTGATGAGTCACGAGTTTATGCAGATATAACAGTAAGAAATTTCTTCATTAAGTAAAAAATCAACCGAAAGTTCCGTGAGCCAGCTTTCGGCACTCGCATATGGATATCAACGTAAGGGTGGCAAGGTGGTGGGTTTTGGAAACAAATGGTAGAAACACCTCGAGCTGAACTAGAGACAAGAAGAAAAATTTGAAACTTTATTTACAAGATTGTGTTTTTAACCTATTGTGACTCTGTTGCAAAATTGCGGCTATAGTACGAGTGTGTCCTTGTCTTTCGTCAATTCTTTTATCATGATGATTGAAGTTCTCGCAAGAGCTTACCACTTCATGGTACTAGAACCGATGAGAAGAAGCAACACAATTTGTTCCTTGCACGAGAGATTTGCTATTGTCACGCAGCATGCGTCTCGTGAAGAGAGAAGACTGCGCAACAATAGCAAAAACTGTAGTAGAAGGTCTACGAACCATGCCATAGTTCTCTACCAGAAACACAACTTACTCATACACTAAGGTCCAGGGAACGAGCCGCAGACCAACATAGACATTGTCGAGGCAACGCCTTGGGCAGTTCCTGGTGCGTATGTGTCGTGACTCGCGTACACTGCTCCCAGGTGAGCAGTTGAAATAGCTCTAAACCATCGTGCCTCTCTCCACGCTGAAAATTGCTGTTCAAAAGGCGCCTTCGTCTTTGGAACGTAGATGGAAAAGTAAAGAAGTAACAAAGTGCTATAGAATTTTTTTTTAGATCCAGAGCTGACGGATTTCTGAGCGGAGAAGGTTAATCTGAACCATTTTCGGGTGACCGACCACAGTACGAATCTGTTACATTTTGTTGGCTGGCACGTCTTCAGAGCTTCAGTTCCTGTGATATGCTCTCGCTGTCATTATTCCGTCTCCAGAATGTTTTCGTCAGGCTTTTGGACGAGGAAATGCTCTGACTGAAGTACATGAAAGCCTCTCAGTACATTCTCCTCTGTACACTCGCAGTCCTTCAAAGAAGGCCAGGAGAAAAGCTCGAGGTGCATAAGCTTGTATGTCGATTGGAAGTCATTCTAGAGACCAGTCGTACTTTAATTGCGCTGATCTGATTCGATTCGGCCAAGTTGATGCACCCACTCATATTATAAACCAGTTTCGCAGAGAGCTGCCATCACCTGCGCAATTGTGAAGAAAACAAGGGTGTTAATTCCTGCTAGGTGTACAGTTTCTTGAGCTGAATGCTTCTTTTTATTCTCGGCATGGCAATCGACCACTTCCTCGAGAGAGGAACTAATTGACAAAGCAACAACTTTGAGCATGATGTGCATGTACCTTGGAATGGGGAAAGCATAATAGAGCTCCTGAAGGAGTCAGTGTCTGAGACTCCTTCAGGAGCTCACAGAGAATCCATCAGGCCGACAGACGATTTCTAGGGTCACCATGGGGGACGTTCGGAATCGTAGCTTTCTGCATAAGGATAAGCAGAGCTGTCCACAGGCACTCCAAGGTTAAAGAGTCATGAATCAAAATTGCTCCTCAAAATTCGGGCTGCAACGAGTAGAGGAACAGAGCAAAGGAAGAACTTTCAGTGATGGCCGCTCTAAATCTGGATCCACAGAACAGAAAGCAAGTGAGCAAGCTCGAGCAGAGAGATCAGAGAGATCACCGATACTAAGGAGATGTTGAGGATGATGATGGAATGTACAAATAGAGGCCACAAACTATTTATACATGTGAAGTCTAGTTTTTGTGAGCGTCAGCTTTGAGCACGGCAAGCATGGCTTCGGAAGGGTTTCTCTTCATTCGATTCTGGCGCTGTAACTTTTGTTGGGCTCGAGGTCTCAGACGACTTTTATCGAGAATCGCCCGACCCTGCAGCCTCTTCAAAGCTATCTGGAATCCGTCGACGAACGGTGAGCACAGTGAAGTAAGGATTCGCATTGGGGACTTGCGCGCATCCGACATCGTAAAATTTTTCAGAATGAGTATCACGTTTGGCATAGTCACACTAGATTCAGTTGGGCTTATCACGGACCAAACTGCCCCTTTGAGATTTTCCTCAAGAGGCTCCCAAAGAATACGATCCAGTCGTCATCAATGTCTCGATGACCTAGCCTTCAATTTTCACTTTGTGACCGCCGCACTGCCGTGTCACGAGTGACGATCTCCTCCGAGTGTGCCAAATGATCTCTGTTTTGGTCCGAAAGGGGCGTGGGTTCGGATCCCACTGTCAACACCCTTACAATGGCGTCGAAGCCATCGAATAATCTTAGTGTCGAATTTGCACCTACTATTTCTCGAACTTATCGCCAGGTCTTAGCTGGAAGAGAAATCTCTAGCCAGGTGCACCCCGCTTCCATTGTTTACTCCACCAATAATGGCCAATGGCCACAGCAGCATCTTCCACTGTAACACCTCCAGCGCATGAGCTGATAAGCCTTCGCAATAAAACAGATTCCTAGCTCCGGTCAGCGAGAGAAGTCGCCAAGCAAACAGTTGACACTCCTCGTGTCCGGAAAGATGGCTCAAGGGCCATGCCTAGATTTTGGCCTTCTCATCACCGAGCGATGTCATCTCAAATCGTATCGGAATGCTTTGACGGAGAACGACTCATATTATCTGCTTAATAGTATATAGTTGCTCATGAGCAGGGAAAGCCTGCAGTCAAAGACACCTCCAGCCGGACATTTTGAAGTTGTCAGGACTCAGGTCAGCATACACAATGAGTGAGTGAGTCTGTGATGCACAGATCTGAGAGTGGGATCTGCCGGTGAGATAGGGAAAGATCGCACATACTCTTTTGAATCCAGACACCTACAAGTGCACCATTCTGCTCCAATGATTCTAAGCCGACATTGCAATGAACAGCGTTTGTAGATTCTAATGAAATCATCTAACATCAAATCAAGCAAGTCTGGTTTCGAGGAAGACTAAGTGAATTAACAAGACGCATTGCTGCCCAATTTCGAGAGAAAACCACGTGCCATCAACTTACAAGAGTCCATGC